TATTTTTTTTTTTCATTTTCATAAAAATTTATTATTATTATTATTGTTATTATTAATAAATAAATAAAAATTATTAAATTCAATTGGGGTGTCATCTACCCACATTAAATAACAACGAATTGTTCAAAAATAATAAAAAAATTTTCTTTTTTTTTTTAAATTGTTATGATATCGATTTACATCACCCATTTATATTATATAAAATATACGTTTATATTTTATCATTTCACGTTATCACGTCGTTATCATACATATATTATATATAATATATATATATATATATATATTTAATAATTCTTTTTATAGTAATACTAAAAAAAAAAAAAAAATATAAAAAATAAGGTGCGAAATATACGATTGTGCGAGTATTTTTTTTTTTTTGTTTAAAATACATAATTTTTTTTTTATGCTCATTTTCTTTTTCTTTTCCAAGTCTTTTCGAAAATTTTCCGAAAAAAAAAAAACTATCTAATATAGGAAATTTTTTTGCGACAGTAAACGCACGCAAACGCACGCACGCACGCACGCATAACATTTCGTTCAATTATTATGAACGATAACATTAACGAAGTTGTCGGTGCGGGAAGGTAAAACATTCAATTAACATTAATAAATTCTTTTTTTTTCGAGGAGAGGGAGCGATAGGGGGGTTCGATCGTCGCGAGATCGTGCGTGCTGTCGACAAATTCGATTTATATATATACCTACTACACACGTGGGAACCGGGTTGGGGGAAAATATTTTTTAAAAAAAAAAACTTATACGCTACTATACCCTTTTATTTTCGGCCATTTTCGTTTACGATTATTATTATTATTATCGTTTTTTTTTTTAAATAAAGAATATCGACAAGAAAACGGCTTTGTTTTTGTTTTTTTTTTTAACTCTAGTTTATGAGCATAAGCAACAAATGATGCGAAATTATGAAAATTGATGATATATATAAAAAACTACAATGATGATGATGATGATGATGATAATAAACTAATATTTTAACCGAAAAAAAAAAAAAATAGAAAGAAAAAAGAATTTTTAAAAATAACCCCGAAAAAAAGAACAATAAAATAATAATAATAATAATAATAATAATAATAATAAATAATGAATAAGTTGTTAAAAATTAATGAGTAGGAGAAAGAAAGAAAGAAAAAAAAAATTTTTTTTTTTTTCTGAAAAGTCAAGTTAATCGTACAAATTCAAAATCTTATTTACTTAGCTTACGAAAGTAAAAAAAAAAAAAAAAGTAATGACCTCCCCCCCACCGCCGCCGCTTGAGTACCACCATTGATCCTCCAGTATATAGACTACTATATACCATTAAGATGAATTTGTTTTTTTAAACGGAATGACAGAAAAAGATTAATTACCAAATTTTTTTTTTTTCCTTTTTTCCTAAGTTAAGCTTAAAAGGAACGCACGCGTTTTCCTTTTCTTTCCTTTTTCCTCTCTCTCTCTCTCTCTCGATAGAAATTCATTTCGTTTTTCTTTTTTTTTTTTTCTAACCTCTTTTTCAAGTTCGAAACAACCCACCCGAAACTACCTACCCACCCACCAACCCACCCATACTCCCTCCTTCTTTCTTTTCTTTCTTTTCTTTCTTTCCTTTCTTTCTTTCTTTTTTCCTTCAATCCACATAAATTGGACTTTTCTGTAGTTGACCTCTTTCAGCAAAGAAAAAAAAAAAAGAATACTTTTTTTTTTTAACGACGAACTCTTTTCATATAAAAATTATTATTATTTTTCTTTCTTTTATTCTCTTTAAAAAAAATTAATGCACGATTTTCCACGCCCTCCGTTTTACCCCCCAAACTTGTTTTTTTTTTCTGTTTTTTGTATTTAATCTCGTACAAACCACTCGGGAAATGTTTTGAATGATTTATATAAAAAAAAAAAAAAAAAAAAGGAAAAAAAAACCCACAATTAATTTTTCTCGATTGAAACCTTTGTCGTCGACTCATCATCAACATTTTTAAGCTCCATTTTGTTTTGTTTTGTTTTTATTCTTTTCACGCGCGCGTTTCAGCAAAAAAAAAGTATAATAATAATAATAATAATAAATGTATAAAATAAAATAGAAAACCGAAAAAGATTCCGGATTTTTTTTCTTCTTTTATAATTTTTCCCCCAAAATCGTACGTTTGGCAATGCCACCGGCCCCCCAAAAACTAAAAATATTTTTTTTTGAATTTTCCCAAACGCGAAAATAATAATAATAATAATTTTTTCAACCGTTAAAAATCAAAAATCCTTCCCCAAAAAAAAATGGAAATTTCCATCGAAACTCTCTCTCTCTCTCTCTCTCTTTCACTCAATCAAATATTTATAAAAATTTTATTTTCGATTTAAAACTGCAAATTTTATTCACGTAGTAATTCGTTACATGTATTTTTTTTCCTACTCACCCCCCAACCATCCCTTTTAAACTCGTTCACGTCGACACCGCCCTTCCTTTGATAAAAAAAAAAGAGATTTTCTCTCCCTCCGGATGTAATAAAACATAATCGAATTTATAAAAAGTGTCAATCGATTTTTTTAAAAAAAAAAAAATTATATTTATATAGATACATTAACGATTTAAAATCGAAAAAAATTTCATCGTAAGGGATATGAAGAGAAAGAGAGAGAGAGAGAGAAGAGAGGGATAAAAAAAACAACCCTTAAAACTCATTTTACCTTCGTCATAACTTATAAAGTTAATTTTCTGCAACGTAAACGAAACCTACAAAGTATTAAAAAAAAAAATTTTTTCTTTTTTTTTTCTAATCTAACTTTTATAATTTTTTCCTTATGGGGAGGAGGGGGAAATTTATCTTACGTTCAAATTATCGATTAAAAATTTTCAAAATGATCCCGATAGTTTTTCAAATCGAAAAAAAAAAAAAAAACTAACCGCTCGAAACCACAAAGATGGCCGACTCACAAAACTTATATTCGATATTTAAATTAAATTTTTCCGGTTTTGAAAATACCGATATTTTTTCATTAAATTATTATTATTATTATTTTTTTTCAGGTCGTCGCCGTCCCTACTAAAAAAGGAAAAAAGGAAAAAATCCCCCCCCCCGTCCATGATGAATCGTCATCGCCTTATTTCGTGGATTTTCATTCATTCGCGATAAATCTCACCGCGAGTTTTTTTTTTAAGCCAACTGGTTAAAAGTAATTTCAAATGACGTTTCAAAAAAAAACGACAACAAATCCTGCTCTTGAACTCCCTCCCCCTTCAAAAAAAAACCCTCCCCACCCCTTCCTTCCTTCATTTTAAAAGTTTTATTGTTAAAAAAAAAAAAAAATGGAATGTAGGCAACAAGTGATTTATATAAAATATGCTCATCTCATTAAAAGCTCTCGGATTTCATAAGAACGTTTTGAGTCGGGGAACCCCCTTCTTCGTCGCCACCGTTACTACCGCTAATTTGTTCGATACCTTCTTTACCGTGTAATTGGTCATTATAAAATTCATGGGAGACCGTCTCGGTTCGATTCGTCTCTTCACTAACCTGACAATTTGAAACGCTATCCGGTATCGGCAAAGGCTTGGCAACTCCGATTCTAACGATTCCCTTTGGAGCTCCTTTCAACGCCTGCACGGCTTGATCGAGAGATGCATTTTCCAAATTCGTATCGTTTACAAAAACGAGTCTGTCACCCGGGATCAATTGACCATCTAATTGTGCGACTCCTCCCGGTACGAGACTTCTTATAACGATAACTGTTTCGTTGGGATCCATGGGATCCTGGAAAACAAAAAAAAACAAAACAAAAAAAATTATTAATAATTTTAATTCCATTTTTTTTTCTTACAGGTTTGAGATCTCGCTTCTGTCAAAAAGGGGGAAGAAAATAAATTAACAATCACGGGTAATTATCGGGTAATTAATTTTTAATTTTTAATTCCAATTTATTAACTTCGTAAAGAAACAAACAAACAAACGAACAAACAAACGCAAAACAAACAAACACAAAGAATGTTCGAGTGTTTTCGACAGGAAATCTTGGAAAATTTGATTTAAAAAAAAAAAAAAACAAACAATTTCGCTTTCTTTTTTCTTTCAACTTTCTCCCTCCCCTCCCCTCTTCTTCTCCTCTACCTCCACCTCCCTATCCTTCAAAATTTTAAATTAACAAAATCGTAATTTATATTTTACAGGTGCCACAGGATAAATTATTACTTTCGCATTTTAAAAAAAAAATAAGGAAAAAGGAAAATTAAAATTTTCACGCTATATAAATAAATTTACTTATTACGCGGGGGAAAAAAAAAACGCAGTAAGTATTTTCTCTAACGCTAGCAGTAACGGTTTTTTGCTGTTGTTTAAAAATATTATATACGTGTATATATATAGATTTTGCTTTAGGTCATAAAAGTAATTTAACACAAAAGTTAATACACAACACAAAGAAATGCAATTAAACCTTTTTTACTTATAATATTTTATAATCAAAATAATACAATGCTATGGTAATTGTAATAACAATGCTATGCTCCTCTTATTATGCTAATAGTTAATTTTTTTTTTTCTAAAACGAAATAGAATCTCTTAGAAAAGAAAATAAAACGTAATAAAGAACAAAAACACCTGAAAAGGTTTCGTCTATTTAAATTCTCAAAAAAAAAAAAATCTTTCTTAGTGTTTTTCTTATCCACATATAAATACACACGTAAAAAGAAAAGGAGGACGGTGGGAGGGTGAGGGGGAAAGAAAAAAATTCGAATTTCGAAGGAAGGAAGAAAAGAAAATGATGATGATTTCCCTTTTAAAAAAATTCTACACTCTTCTTAGGAGGCTATATTTTTTTATTTTACGTCAATATCACTTCCAAAAATAAAAAAAAAAACCCATTTGAAATTCCAAGGGCTTCCCATTCGTAAAAGGTGTGTGATCAAAAAAAAAAAAAAAAAAGACAAAAAAAAAGAAAGAAACAAAATAAAATAAACTTAAATTGAAGTCGGCCTTTGAAAAAAAAAAAAACCTTTGAAAAAGAAAAAGGAGGAGGAGGAGGAGGAGAAGAAAAAGGAGGAGAAAAAAAAATACAGAAAAAGGTAAGGGAGAGGGAGGGAAAAGAAAAAAAAGTTTAAAGCATTAATTTTTTTTTTTTTCTTCGATTTAACAATATTACAAAAAAAACAAAACAAAAAACAAACGGGGAAAAAAAAAGAGAATAAAGTATAAAAATAAATCAGGAAAGCAAAAGAAAATGAGGGGGAGAAAGAGAGTGGGGGAGAGAGAGAGAGAGAGAGAGAGAGTAAGAGAAAGAGAAAGAAAGAGAAAACAAATGATTTCATTAAAATTAATAAATAAATTTTTGTTTTTTTTTTCTGCTTTTTTTTCATCATTAAAACTAATGAAAAACACTTTTTGCGGGGGAGTGCAGGTGGAAGAGGAGGAGGAGGCAAAGAGAGAGAGAAGGAGGGGAGGGGGAGGGGAAGAAAAAGTTGTTTTTTTTACTTCGATTTAAAAATCGAGGTGTGTCAGTCATCATATTATTCGAACCGCAAAACTTTTTTTTACTTTTTTTTTTTTTTTAACTTTGCAAATATTAAAAAAAAATAAATAAAAACGTAACGAAGCAAAACTTTCCGAGTTTTTTTTTTAAAAAAAAAAAACGACGCTCGCAAACTTTAACACGAAAATCTTTTTTTTTTAATAAAAAATAAAAAATAAAAAATTTTAAATTTAATTTAATAAATTATTAAAAGCTGGAATAATAAACAATTTTTTAAAATAAAACCCCGCTGCATATGGCACCCATAAATGCAATCGAAAAAAAATTTTATTATTATTATTATTATTATTATTATTATTATTATTATTATTATTATCATCAAACGGATTTTTTCCTATTGTCAAATAATACCCAATAAAGATATTGAATATTTTTTTTTAAATCGAAGCGTTTATAGCCGTAGTCATAGTAGCAAAAAAAAAATAAAAAACGTAAAAGAAAATTCAAATTTTTTTTTGCTCCTCCTCTGAATTTTATAAAAACGTGGAAGGGGGAAGGGGAAGAGGGGGAAATTTATGACGTCATAAAAAATAAACATTAATAAGTTTTGAATATTTTCTTTTTTTCCATTTTTTTCTTTACTTTTATCGAAAACTTTTCTTCGTATTATATTTACTTATTTTATTTTTTTTTTCGAAAATACGAAAAGTAGCAACGTTTTCACTTCCGCCCCCTTCTCCCTTTCCCTTCTTCTTCTCCCTCCCTTTTTTTTTAAATTTAATAACTAAACAAAATTCAATTTTCTTAATTGTAATTAAAAAAAAAAAAATCTATAAACTTTCATCGTAAATTATCATCGTAAATGACAAAAAAAAAAAAAAAACTCGGAAAACAGAATTTTTTTTTATATTTCCCTTCGAAAAATCCGTCGTTAAAAAAAAACGAGGAGGTGGGGAAAGGGGGGCAGGAGATTATTTAAAATGTTTTAAAACCCCCCTCCCCACACCCTCGTGAAAATAATTATTAAAAAATATATATATATTTTAATGATTTAGTATCGACTTTTATTATTAAAACGATATCCCCCCATTTTTTTTGTTTTTTTTTTAAACTAAAAACGCTTATTATTAAACACAAACAAAAAAAAAATAATAATAATAATAATGATAATAATCGTAAAAACAGCAAGAAGAAATTGAAGAGGGATGATGATGAAAAAGGACAGGAGGACAATAAATAAAATTTAATAGTTAAAACAATAATAATAAAACCAGATGCGTTATTAACAATAACGACAAAACATTAAAAGTTCGAAGCAATTAAACGTTTTAAAACCTCCTCCCCTCCCCTCTCCTTCCCCCCCAAAAAAAACTAATTAATAAAAGTTTTCCCCCCCCTTTCCCTTTTTCTTTTTTTTTATTACCGTTCCTCCTCCCAACCGCTCCCAAATAAATAAAATAAAATAAAATAAAAATTTATAATAAATTTTCTCTTTTTCGCGCGACTTTAAAGAACGTGTCGAAAATCATTTAAATGTGATAAAATGAATGCCACCGCCTCCCTCCCTCCCTCCCCTCTCCTCCCCCCTCGAAAAAAGAAAATTATTTTTAAAAAATTTTCAATTTTTAAATTACAACTTTTTGCCATCAACATTCTTCGTGTGTGTGTGTGACTTATTTAATTAACACATTCCAGAGCGGAAAAGCTCTCCAGACAAATTTTTCCTACAGTAAAAATATTAAATGGGACGAACGGGAACTGGAAAGCATAACACGTAACACGTAGCAAACGTTCAAAAAACGAAAATTGTACCCGAAAAGAAACAAAAAAAAAATTTTATATATATTTTATTTATTTATTTATTTTCGAATTTATCCACTGAATTTTCCTTTTTTTTTTTTTTTTTGGAAAAATTGCATGAAAACATGAGATGATCAAAAGGTCAAAAAATGAAATGGAAAAAAAAAGAGAAAAAATAAAAAAATAAAAGCAGCTTTAGAATTATTTTCGAAAAACGAAAAAAAAACGGAAACAGACGGTTTAAACAGATTCGAAATTCCCTCACCCTCCCTAAATCCCCCCAAAAAAATCACAAAAAACATGGAAAATCATTTTGTTTGCGTAATTATAAACGCGAGAGGAAAGGGGGAGAGAGAGAAAAAAAAACATTTTCAAATGACATTAACCGTAAGAAAAAATTCAAATTTTTTTTTTCTTTTAATCCTAATACCCCCCACCCACCCGGAAAATTTTGATTTCGAATTAAATCGATCAATTCTCGTTTTAATCATTAATTAATTAATTAATTAACTAAATAAATTTCAATTTAAAAAAAATAAAATAAAAAATTTCCACGAGTAAGTAGGATAATAATAAATTTTCTTTTTTTTTTTGAGTGGAAAAAATTCAACAGGTAACTAAAAAAAAGTTTTTCTCCCCCCTCCCCCGAATCGAAATAAAAAATAAAAACAAATTAATTTTAAAAAATAATAATAATAATAATAATAATAATAATAATAATAATAATAAAAGTTACACGATAACAGATAAAAAAAACTTTATAAAAAATAATAAAACATTTTTTATCATTCGTAATAAAAAAAAAAAAAACATAATAACAACACCAATTATAAATTTTTCATTTTTTTTTTTTTCTTGCTTTGTTTTCAGGCGGAGAAAATTTTTTAGAAGAAAAAGTCGAAACTGACAATCGATTAATCGCAAATCAAATTTTCTTCTGCTAATGTAATAAAGGTACGTAAACAAAATCGAGTTGACAGGGGAAGGGGGAAAAAAAGAAAAACGGTGAAAAATTGATCGCGTTAATAACAACGGCAGCAACATTTTAACAATAGCAAAGACGAAGTGTTACAGTAAAAGAGATAAATAGAATAGATAGAGAGAGAGATAGATAGATAGATAGATAGATAGATAGGGAAACAAAAAAGAAAAAAAAATTAAGACTTTGATAACAAAGTCTTCTTTTTCCCTTTTCTTAACTCGACACTCGCGCACGCACACACTCACAAACGTTCACTAAATAAAATTTAATAAATTTTTCACACGTCTTAACTTTTTTTTTTTTTTGCGACAGCAAAAATTCAATTGAATTCAACATACATTTAAATTACAAACATAGAACAAACAAAAAACAAACAAACGAACAAACAAAAAAAAAAACTCGTAAACTTGAATTGAACAAACGGAATTTTCATTTCTTTTTAAATTTATTCCGTTATAAATTACTTATATATGTGTATGTATGTATTATTAATATTTTAATAATGAGTGACTTTTCACTTTTTAATTAATAAAACAAAAACTCGTCGACACAACGTATGTGTTCTCTCTCTCTCTCTCACACATACATTTCAATACGAATAAAAAGAGAAAAAAGGTTCGACGACAAAACTTTTTATTGTTTTTTCTTATTTTTTAATAATTATTATTTCATCGTCGTTTCCCTATTTTCCCGAAATATCTTTTAAATTTCCTTCTTGTTTTTTCTTCTAAAAAAAAAAAGTTTTACGTAAAAACATCCGCCCATTATTATTCCCTAATAATAATAATAATAATAATAATAATAATTATAATAATTTAAAACATTTTCTCAAATTATTAAAAGCAACGAAACAAAAAAAAAAACAAACAAACAAACAAAAAAAAAAATTAAATTTTCCATATTTTTACTACGCTCGATTTATCGATTTTCGCGATACTACGTTCGATTTTTTTTTGTTTTTCTCATTACGGAAATACAATCAATCAAAATTTTTATAATTGGCAACATTGTTAAAAAAAAAATTAATTCGTTCAAAAAATTAAAAAACTAATTCGAACGTGCTTTTTACTTTTTTTCCTTTTTTTTTTTTTTTTTTTAATTTTTCTAATTATTGATTATAATTTCCCTAATTAGTTCTCATTAGTATTTTAACCCTTAAATTCAACCCTTAAGAATTTTAAGGAACTAAATTTACAATAAAAAATTCAAATTTCAAATTTAAATTCCAATTTAAAAAAAGAAAAAGTGAAGAACCTCTTTTACATGTATATTTAAATATAATAATATTAGCGATTAAAATACACATTTTAAACAATTTTTTTGTTGTTTTTCAATGACGTAATAGCAAATAATAAATAACAAACAAACATAATCAATTAAATTTAATTACATTTACTACCATTACTAAAAAAAAAATTCACTGGATGGTTTATCACGTATTTTTCCCACAAACCGGGATACCGGGATACTGGGATTACATCCACGTAAGTAAATTTTATTCGATAGAGAGACAAAAAAAAAAAAAAAAAATGAAATATGAAAAATAAAGAATAAATTAAAACGTATTTTTTATTTTAAAAACTTAATTGACTCCTTTCATCCTCAACGTTTATTATTAAACCCGTAGGATTTTTTTTTTTTTTTTTTTTATGGAAAAAACGAGGAAAAACGACGACTATAATTTCGTGTGATGAATATATACGAAGATGAAAAAATTAATTTTTTTTTTGAATGGAGGAAAAAAAAACTATTATTACTCTACTTAAAAATTTTCCTTATCGTGCGATAATTGTGTGTTACTGCGTGCCCAAAAAACGTATTATAATAATAATAATAATGACTAATGTAATGAATACGAATAAATTTTTTTTTCGATACTCTACAAGACTAGATTTTGAATACTAAAAATTTGCTCCGAATTTTTAAATGTAAATATGATAGCTAAATGGAACTAAGGGAGACCGAGATTCGTTGCTGGCCACGGATGGCGAATTAGTATCACTCAATTCGCTTCCGGACCACGAACTAACGGGAGATAAAGCAATGTGATCGTGAAGCCTTTTGTTAATGCCGCAAGACAAGCAAAGCTTTCTCTTGTCGTTGATGTTAAATCTCACGCGATGTTGATCTTTCACGTTTCTTTTCACCGAGGGATCTTGTAAAGACGATTTTTTCATGGATATAAAATTATTCGGATTCGAAGACGAGTAAAATTTATCGTTCGACTCATTCGCATAACCCGATAAAAACTCATTCGTCTTCTCGTCACCCTTAGGAGGTACAAAATTATTATATTTCGAGTTTACCTGATAGTCGAGAATGGAAAATCCGAGTCCGCGTTCTCCCTTGACCAATTCGATGATTTGCGGTTCCGAACTCCACATGGCAAGACCCGTGAGCGGTTCCAGTGATCGCGATTTCATTTTCGAAAAACTCCCGTCGGTTGCCGTGGCGGTTGTTGTTGTCGAAGCGAGAGAACCGTCTGATTTTGCTTTTACGAGACGGTCCGTGGCAGGAATTAAGTTCTGCAAGCTGCCACCCAAGATGTTCTACGATGAAAAAAAAAAAAAACCATTGAAATTTAAGAAAAACAAAAACAAAAAAAATTTTCTAAAAGTTTAATATTTCAATTAATAACTTACTCTTCCCGCAAAAGCTGCTTTATCTTGAGTTGTATCATTCAATCTGTGTGGTAAAGTGCTATCACTTCTGCGAGCGCAAACCATACGAACGCTCATGGATAAATCTTTTAAAATGCTAACGACTTCGATATGATTCATACCAAGCAATCTATATCCGTTTACCTATAAATTATAAAATCAAAATTTGTAAAAAAAAAAAAAAAAAAAAAATTAACTTCAACGACAGACGCGGTAATTTTTTTTTTTACCTCTAAGAGTTCATCGCCCGATCGAAGACGTCCATTTTGGCCAACTGGTCCCTCGGGTAAAATTGATCTTATGTAATGATGCGGTCGAACTTCTTGACCGTGTTCAACATCAACCGTACCTTCCAAACTGATCCCCAATCCTCCTCCCTCACTCAATTTACAAAGTTGAGCAACCTGAATATCAAAAAAAAAAAAAAATTTCGAAATGAAGGAACACAAAAAAAAAACAAATAATTAAACAAAATAATTTTTATCGAGTACTTACAATGATTTCCGAATCGTCTCCAAGTATTTTTTTCCACTTTGCTTGAATGGCAGCTTCAACTGTCGGTTTTAAAGTTCCCTCGTAATCATTATCTATGAGCATATCCAAATCGCAAATATCGATGTTCATATTGTCAGACTCTATATTTTCCAACATTAAATTACCCGAACTTTTTCTCTCGGCTTTTATTTCATTGGGTTCTCCGCTCTGTATTAAAAAAAAAAAAAAAAATAAAAAATACTCGCGATGTGCTTTTGTGGGGGAGGGGGGGGAAAGAAACGAAAATAAATTGTGCAAAACCAAACGGTCGCACACATTTTTCTACAAAATTGCTCACCGAACTTATAGCAAGATGAGGCAGTGAATCGGCTGAAGATGATATCGGAGTCGGAAGCTTTATTTCGGAGGCAGCAATAGCTTGTTGCAATTGTTCAAATTTAGGACCTCTCAAATATCTTTCAAGACATAGTCTGACGGTTTGGCCCGTTGATCTCAAAACCTTTTTTTTTTTTAAGAAAACAAAAAATCCTTAAGAAACTTTATTAAGAAATCAAAATCCTCTTTGTCATATTTATCTTTAAAATCACAAGACTCATAATTATAAACAAACATGGAGTCGATTATGAAAAATTACCTCGACAGCTTGATGATTGGTGTAACCTTGCAAAGATCGACCGTCAACTTCGACAATTCTATCATTAACTTGTATTTTTTTACACACGTCTGCTGCACTACCCTCGCTAATGCTTTTAACAAATATTCCAGAAAGTTCCTCTGCAAAAACAACAACAACAAAAAAAAAAAACATTAAGAAACTCTAATATTAGCGATTGAAAATTATAAAATTTAAATTTTTCTCTACGACTTTTTTTCTAAAATGTTTTTTTTTTCTTCCCACATGATAATAAACCGCGTAACTCCTTCCGAGTTAAATTAACGCTACCGATAGCAACGAAATTAAAAATAACCCAAAAAATGCTTCGCTTATTTCTAAACTACTTAATGTTCAGCCATTATAAAAAAAACAACAATTTATTATTTTATTCATAAGTTGTCGCGATTAATTTTGAAAAACAAAAATATTTCGACTTAATAAATTTTTAACGAGTTATTAATTATCACCTTTCTCGCAAACGTATCCTGCGATTGTGATCCCCAAACCGTGTAAATCTTTTTTTAATTCGACTGTGAATTTTTCCATTTCGGGAAGATCTGATGTTTCTAATGGTAGCATATCCATTGTGAGAACCGATAAAGAGGGTGCGGTGAGAATGGGTATAGACGATCCGACAGGATTTCTAACTGCATCCATGACTAGAGTTGCTTGCGGCTGCCAAAAAAAATCAATATTATTTCATTATCGAATATCATTTTAATAACAAATAATTTTGTAAAATGGCGCACAAATAAATTTTATTTCTTTCTTACATGCATCTCAATATCTTGTTGATGTTCTCGGAAAATAAAATGATCGTTGTAAGCTTCGAGTACGGGTGTTTGTCTCGAAAGTGTTTCCGTGTAACCATTTTGCAAAAGATGACGATCGAGTTCTTCGGGGTCTCCCAATATTTTCGTTGGCACAATGGGAGCGTGACTCCCTAAAGCCTGATAAAAAAAAAAAAATTTTTTTGTTATGATTATTATTATTTTTTAGAACGATCGGTCGTTGATCTTTTCATTTTCCATTTCAAATAATGATCATAAGTAAAAATTTACTTGATAATCGGGAGACGTGGGTTCTACGGGTCGAGCTACAACAAGACGAACATGGCTTCCGGATTGTCTGAGTACGGCGGCAACTTGTTCAGAGCCCATTCCTCGTAAATTAACGTCGCCGATTTGCAAAATATGATCTCCGCTTTGCAGGCGACTGTCCTGAGGAAGAAAATAATAATAATAATAATAATAATAATAATAATAATAATAATAATAATAAATATTAAAAATTAAAAAACTTTTAAATTGTTTGTAAATTAATTATTCACTCTAAGGACTGTGTAATGCAATATTACAAATTTAATCCTTAAATAAATTATTATTTACCGCAATTCCGTTTAAAATTCAAAGTTTCGAAAGTTTTGGGTCAAGGTAAATTTTTAGTTCAATATTAATTTTAAAATTTTTTTGGTTCAAAACAGTCAGTCACGCGAAACTAAAAAAATAAATAAAAAAACGCCATATCATACGTATATTTTCATAAATTTCAAAAATAATTTTCTATTTGGAATTTTTCAAAAATTTTTTTTTTACAATCGGAAACCTTTGAGAGAAAGAAAGAGAGAGAGAGAGAGAGAGAAAAAAACATTTTTCACTTACAGTAAATATAAAATAAATTAAAATTAAATTATGTTAAAGTAACAACGAAAAAAAAACCTAAATAAAAGAGATAAATATAAACATTTTTCAAATTAAATATAAAAAGATACTTTAAAAAATTATAATTAAAATTAAAAATAATAATAATAATAACTTTTATTTATAAACGTTAATTAGTTTTGATTTCTTTTTCTTTTTACTGTTGCACTCTTCGTATATTTTTAATTAGAGTTAATACTGAGTAAAAAATAAATTTAAAAAATTTACTTCTTCGATTTAATAAATTTTATTAACGAAACAACAACCATAAAGGAAAAAAACGGTAAAATTAAAATTTTTTTTTTGGCAAAGAATATACCCCATACAGCTGATAGGAAAAATGATAAAGATGACGACGATAATGATAATGACGGTAGAAATTTAGCATATAATACTGATTTGTTAATATGCCAGAAATTTAAATAATACGAAATCTTCGTAGATCTCGAGATCAAAAATTCTAATTTTACTTTTACAAAGAATCGCAATGAATTATTTAAAGTCTCTGCTCGATTAAATCGGTATTATTCAAATAGTTTTGTACTTACGAATCAGGTCTCTTCTCGCTTTTATTAAATTCAAAAAAAAAAAAATTTCTAAAATTTTCCAGTGCGACAGCTTTCCCTTCTTTCTTTCTTTTCTTTTTAATTTCGAATAAAACATATTAATTTTATAAAACCGTATATTAAATTGACAAATAACCTCCCCCCATCATCTCTTATCTCTCATTAATTAGTTACTTAACTCGAAGTTAATGAAAGGATTTTATAGCGTAAATAAACAACGTGGTAAATTAATTAAAAATTTAAAAATTTACTAACTCTGTCTGCGACGCCCCCCGGTAAAATAGTTTTGACGACGACTCCCGTACTTCGACCTCCGATGATACCAAAACCGAGACCGGAACCATCGTTGACAAGATCGATCACTTCCACCTGTGACCATTCCGTATTAAGCTGTAAATGATAAATTAAAATGATAACATTTTTTTTTTTTTTACTAAAAAATATTTTAAATAATCGAAAGATTGTTTCATTTAAAAAAAAAAAAAAATTAATTTGGTCCCACTAACCACCATGTCGGAGCCAGCTTTGGATGAATCGCTCACAGCCGATGGAGACCTGGCGACAGGGAATTGGTTTTCTTGTGTCTCCTCTTCTGCTTCCCTTGCCACTACCAACTCAACCAAACCCCTGGCTTTTTGAAGAATGCTAATAGCCTGTTGATGGCTAATGTTTGAATCCAACGGTTGTCCATCGATGGCTAATATTTGGTCCCCTTCCCGAAGATTACCGTCTCTGCAACGCAAAAAATTTATGCACGTGTAAACTCAGATGTTAGGGCAGATGATGGGGGATGGGAGGGGAGGGGCGCACGCAAAATGAATTAAACAACTCCATAAAAAATTCAATGGTGAATAATTTACCTTAAAACCCGACCCGACAAGGTAAAAAAATATCGAGTTATCAATTATTAATAAACCGCAAGAATAACACGCGGGGAAAACGGAAACCCTCCGTTCAAAATGTCGAGAAACCATATTTTCATAAAGATTGTAATACTAAACGATCCGGATTTTCTTAACATGCCGCAAAAACTTATGTAAAATTAATCAATCAATCAATCAATCAAATCTCGGTTTACATTCTTTTTCAAAAGAAAAAAAAAAACCTTTTAAAAAATGACCGATGACGTAAATTTTTATTCTTTTCAACATTATTCAAATTTAAATCGCACGTAACCATTCCTTAAGGGGAAAAAAAAAAAAAAAAGAAAAATTCTAATAAATTATTTCTTGAAAGAAAAAGGAATGGAAAGGGGGGAAAAAATGAAATATTGGAATAACGTGGGATGAACGAAAAGACATCTTCGTTACGTAAGTAACTAAGTAAATTCAAAACCTTTTTTCCTCCCTCTTTCTCTCTCTCTCTCCCCTGCCCCCTCCCTTATTTTCTCCTTAATTTATGTTCGGTTACCTATTTATTATTACAAAAGCTTTAATGTATACATATATATAAAAATTTACACCTGCGCAAAATAAAATAAAAAAAATGTTTTCCCCTCTTGAAAAAATACACAAAACTTATAATTTTAAAAAATCAATAATACTGGATGATAATAATAATAATAATAATAATTATTATTATTATTATTATTGTTATTTTTCCGAGCTCGAAATATTTTTTTTTTTTTTTTTTTTAATGAACGAAAGTCGTAAAATTTATAAATTACAAAAACAAAGGACAAGCTTAACAGCTTTACGCTTTTAGCTCAAAAGCTTAAAAGTAAAAAAAAAAAAAAATAAATAAAGAGACAGAAAAAGAGAGAGAGAGAAAAAAAATTGCAATATTACTTTGATTCAAACAAACATGTTTGTTTGTTTGTTTTTTTTTTTTTTAAATCCAATTTCTCTAATGTTCGATTCATCAATGAAAAACAAAAGCAAAAAAAAAAAAAACACCTGAAAGTTTTTTTTTTTTAATAAAAATTTATAAACTTTTATTTATTTATTTACTTATTTATTAATTAAGTAAATCCAAACAGTTTTAAATTTAATAAATTAAAAATTGTTGATTTTAATTTGTTTAAATTTATTTTCAATATCTCATTCACGTATTTATTAAAATGAAACGAGCAAAGCTTTTCCATTTAACAAAAAAAAAAAAAACAGCAATAATAACAACAACGACGACAAGAGTTAATTATTTTAAATTTAAATTAAAAACAAAAAAAAAACAACAACAACAATAATGATAATGATGGCAATATCGCTAAAAATAAATTATAAAAAAATAAAAAATTAAAACAAAATAAAAACTCAAAAAGCCATTAAGGTAACCGTGTTTATAATGAAGTAATTTTCGTATCTTTTTTCCCGCCCCCTCCTCTTTCCCCCTCCCTCCCTCGGGGAAAGCTAGAAAGGCTGGCGACCTTAAAAAAAAAAAAAAAAAAAAAAAAAAAAAAACGGTTCGAGAATAGCTAAATTAGGTAATTCTCTTGTTACGTATGAGTCGTTCGTTCATTGGTTCGTTCGCTCGCTTCTTTGTAATTATTAATTAACCTTATTAAAACGATGGAAAACAATAGTCGAAAACCATCTTTTAAGACTGAAAATCCACACGCTGCCGTTTTCATTCGCCGAGCTTTTTTAATATTCAACCAGAAAATTGAATAAATATATATATATATATATAAACTTTCACGCTGTGCTTTCCAACCGTAATTTTTTTTCCCCCTTCTTTCTTTTTTTCTTTCTCCCCTCGAAAAAATAAAAAAAAAAAGAAAAAGAAGAGGAGAGAAGAGGCGGGGGAAAGGGCAAAAAAAAATTTAATTATTTCGGACATCGTAACATATCGAATCTTTAAATACTTTTTAAACCTTTTCAAACGTACCTGAAATATTTATGTAACCCTTTACCCCCTCCTCTTAATTTCTATTTTTCTTTTTTTCCAATTTTATCAAACGTCACGATGTAATTAATGTATTTTCAAACTTTGTGAAATTTTTGACGTTTTCCAATTTCATCATCATTTGTTCGAAAACGAAAAAGAAAAAAAAACATGGAGGGAAGAGAAACTCAAATAAATAAATAAAACCGAGAAAAGCTCCATACATGAGGAGATCATGTCCGAACAATTATTCGAACCCAGCAAAATAATAATTAATCCGTTTTAATAACACTTTTATTAAATTTCTAACTCTCTCCCTCTCCCTCCCCCTCTTTCTCTCTCTTTCTCTCGCGCCAACACGTATTATTAAAAAAAAAAAAAAATTGATATATTGTTTAATAAATAATTTTCCGGAAAAAAACGTCATCATCACCGGTGAAAACCATACGAGGAAAAAATTAAATAAATAAATAAACCTTACAAATAAATAACATTTTCCTTTTTTCTTTTTCCTTCTCTACTCTTTCTCTCTCTCTCTCTTTCGTTTTTTCTCTTTCTCGATTTTCAAAAGAACAAAAAAATAATATTAATAATAATGATGATGATGATGATGATGATAAAATAAAATAAAATAAAATTACAAACTTTTGAAATAAATTTTAAAATCGTTTCAACTTGAGTAAATTTCAAAAGGAGAGCAGGTAGGCAGGCAGGGAGGCAGGTAGGGAGGCAAGCGGGGAGGCAGGCAGGCAAACAGTTCGACGAAGTTGACATTTCAAGTCTAAAAGATAAATAAAATAAACCTTGTGATCTTTTACCCCGTTAAATAATAAGTTCGTTTTCTCAAAACATTAGAAAACATTTATTCACGAGCCCAAAAACGAATGACGAAATTGACAACGTGGCGTGCTCCCCTCCCCTCCTTCCCCCTTTTCCCCTTCCCCTCTTATTTGTTTTTTTTTTTTTAATTTAAATGAAATTTAAAAATTTCCCGTTTGAAAATTTTTTTTTTTTTAATAAAATTTTTCCTTTTTATTCGACAGATATTAAATTTTGAAACAACAAAACAAAACAAAACAAAAAAATTTTTTTTTTTCATGCAAATTTTATTTGGTTTCGGAAAAACAAATACAAACCAACTTTTTTTGGGGGGCGGGCGAGCCGAAGGGGAGGGGTTTAGCAGGAGGAGGAAGAAAACAACACGTTTATTTTATCGTACATTTTTTTTTTTTTACCTTTTATATTATTTAATATAAACAAATTAAATTTTTCACGCACCGCGAGGGGTTTAAAAAAAAAAAAAATGGAAAATTATTTTTAAAAACATTCATTCGTGAAAGAAAACATTATTATTATGTTTATATTGTAATTTTCCGTTTTTCCCGTTTTTTTCTTTAATGAAAATATTCGGAAATCGACATTCGATTGTTTAAAAATCAATTTTTCCGAATAAAAAGAAAATTTTATTTATTATTATTCAAAAACCATAACAACAGAAACAACAAGAACAAGAAACGAACGGGAAAAAAATTATTTTTATAATCGAATTTTTCTTCTTTTTTTTTTTTTTTACAATCAACATCCATTGTGTTGTTTGCACATGAAAACATTAAATGGTTTTTCGTTTTTTCGATTTTTGTTTGCCCCCGAGAGAAAAAAAAAAAATGATGTTAAACAGAAGCGAAAAATTTGTTGTTGTTTTGACTGACGTTTATATACATTTGGCATGAATTTTAATTTTGCGAAAAAAAAAAAGAATTCATGCCAACAGCTGAGAAAATTCATAAAATGTCGATGTTTTCATTCGTATTAATTGAAATTTTTACGGTTTTTTTTTTTTTTCTTTTTCTTCTTCTCCTTCTCGTCTCACCGATACGAACAAAAATTTTTAAAACATTTTCTTTAGAAACGCATTTTTTTTTTTTTTTTTTTTTAACAAAACGAGACTCGATTCGAATTTAAATCGTCTGAAAAATTTTTTTTTTTTACGTTATAATATTTCCGGCGTTCATAATTCCGCGAATTCGAAAAGAGGAGAAAACTAAAACCCCCCACCATCACCACCACCACCGCCTACTCGAAAAAATGATTAAAATTTGCCTTTTATGAGAAAATATTTTGGAAGAAAACGTAACAAATACAAAATTTTTCCAACTCGTATTAAACCTTTTCCACGCGCAAATTCTTTAAATAAAAGATTAAGAAACGCAATCGAATAAAATAATAAAATTGATGACGAATTAATTTTGAAAAACCGGAAATGGTTAAAAATTTTAACGAATTTTTTTTTATTTCCCGAAAGAAAAAAAAAACAACTGATTTCTTTTAATAATTTGAGTTGATTTTTTTTAATAATTTGAGTTGATTTATTTTTAATAATTTGAGTTTTTTTTTTTTGTTTTTCTCCGGGTAAAATTTAATTTCTTTTCCTTATCGTCATAGATACCTCAAACAAAAAACTTTATTACCTCAAACAAAAAAAAAAGAAAAGGAAAAGAAAAGAAAAAGGAAAAAAAGGAAAGAAAAAGAAAACCGACGATAACGTTTTTCTCTTTGAAAACTCTTTAATTAAATTTTAACTCTTTAAAAAAAAAAAATTTAATTTTCCTTAAATAATCACGTAAAAAAAAAAAAAAAAATTTCTGTAAATATTCCAATCTCCCCCCCTCTCTCTTCTTCTAATTTAAAATGATTTACATAAACACGTGCGCGCGTGCGAGCACACACACACACAGATTCTCTTTTTTTAAAATGTAAAAAAAAAAAAATAATATGAACTCCGTCTTCTTTTGATTTGACCTTTTTGACTACTATTATTATTATTATTTTATTTTATTTTATTTTACGACCTACACCTTTAATTTTCTTTCCTTCGCACCTTATTAGATTTTTCTCTCGATTCGCCATCT